TGCGGACGAAATCCTCTGTCCACCGAGATCTTCCCGACAGATTCATAGGGTGCCTGCTATTCCTATAGGACCCAGTTGGAAACCATGTTGCATTCGTAAATACAATTATCCCTGTCCAGCTCACGCGAAAACCCGACGGCGAATAAGATTCAACGATCTAGACTTGGCCGCTCAATACTGAATCGGACGGACGGAGAGAAAGGGTTATCTCTCTTACATCGTTACAATTTCTTCAACAAATGTACATTGTTATTACCAGGGAGGATATTTTAATGGCGTTGGAAACAATTTTACGCATCGCGCTAATGCTTGCCAACCGACCAATATTTTTTCTCCTACAGTTCCATTAATTTTCTCCGATTAATTAAAATCGAACAGTATAATACATTTCATTTCGTTCACTCTATCGTGGCGAATAACCGCGCGAAACACTCGCCACCTCCTTAAATTACAACTCTATCTTTTGCGAAAGAGGTGAGGAAAGTTATCTTGAAATCACCAGAAAGATCGAGTTTAATCGACACACGAAACGTCCTTTCCTCTTTCGTACCGGCAAACTGATAGACGCGCATAGGTATGCGTCGCATACCGACCGATAAGACAGAGGTCACATAGTGCGTGTGTTTCCTGCAAAATCTATCCTACGTTCCTGCCTCTGGCAATCTATTCGTGAGAGAACTTTGAGAAGGATGGAGGATAATCTCTGGTGGACAATGGGGGAAGAAACGCGAGAGACGTTGCTCTCGACGATCAACCTCGACAAACCACTTTCCCTTTCCCCCGACCGTATTTTCGAACCGTCGCTCCTACTATATATACATACATGCATGTACCTACGGAAGCTTCCATCTCAGTGGTAATTTATCCCCTTTTTTCATTCCACTGATTCATTTCGTTCTCTTCGAGGCGATATACGTATGTACAATATCGGAAGACTTTCTTCGATCGACGACCAACATTCGCCCCCCGACCTTTCAATTGCGAAAATTCAAAGCTTCTACCAAAAATCTAACTGGCTACTTTGCATCTAGAGAGTTCGCTTTCACGCCCGCCGGGCATTTTCGTCATTAACACGGCAAATTCGACGATGCTCGTATAATTCGTAACTAAGAACGAAGAAGCTATTTTGGAAACGTACGTTAAACCTGTTCACGAGGTATTGCGAGAATTCTTCGTAGTCTGACAAGACGTAACGCTTTCGTTTGCCACACACGTAATAGCACGGAGAAAAGAACGAAAATCCTTTCTATATACGTATTTGTAACCTTGACCGATCAAAATTACGCATCGCTAAGTACTACGCTAAGATTGAAACGTTAATTTTCCACGCTATTTCCCATTATTTCCAACACGATCCTCGACAGTGCTAGATCGTGCACAACGCAGTTTAACTTTGGCGACGACGAGCACCGATCAGAGAATGCGTGCATTATCACCCATTTCACCCAAACTTAACTAAAAGTAGAATAGATATCGCTGAAAAATAGAAATACGGCAGGGCGGAAATATCCGCAATATGTACTAGCGTCGAGAAGCCTGGCGCCTGACGTATCGAGCGTCTGTACCACGTCCGCATCTGATTCGTACCCTGAAAAACATGGGCACGCAGCCAGGCACAATTGTCACAACCTTCGTCCGTCCAAGCTTCCACCACCACCACGGCCAATACATCCTTAATTAGGACTTTCGATACGTAGCTTTCATGCAATACACGAGCACCTTCCGATAATTGAAACAGTCTACCAATTACTGCTGATGCTGCTGATGCTGCTGATGCTGCTGATGCTGCTGATGCTGCTGAGGCTGCTGATGCTGATGATGATGCGAGTTTTGACGCTCGCGATGATACACCTACGACCGATTGCGTAAGGCATTAAAGTTAGCGCGCACGGGCTTGGTCTCACTTTCAGCGTGTCAAGGACATCTGCGACAGACCCTGTCGGCCTAATTCCGCAAGATCGTTGCCAGGACGAGTGGACATTAAAGTGGACATCGGCGCTCGATATTCTCTCCCTCTCGTCATTTTCTCTTTCCGATTCGTCGCCAAAAATACTCTCTTCTTGTTTATTCGCTTGCCACACTTCAAATACTTGATGCCAGTCTCCTTCGAACAATGTCGCATTTTCTTCCATTTCGCGTCGTTTTCCAAACATATCCATCCAAAAGTGGAGATTTCCTCGGCACCCAGGAAAAAAACACGATGATACCATTTCGCCATCTTCCTTCCATCTACGTACTTAAGTACGTATCTATCTTGTTTCGTTCTCCGTTCGCACGTCGCGTCGACGATCTCACGAAAAGAGAAACCGTCCTTTTATTGCGGGAAAAGACCAAATTGAAATTTCTTTTCCAACATCTGCTTTCAATATTGATCTAATCATTGTGCGTACTTGTTGGAGGAAACGATTAGCAAGGCAAAGAAAGCGAAATAACGCATCTCGGGCTCGAGTCGATTAGCCCGCGATAGGTAGACATCGCGAGGCATTAAGTTCGATGAACTCTTTGCTCGAATTCTATGTTATGCGCGTTCATAAACGTTCATAAAGCGTTGTTCGTGAGAGCGTCGAATCCCTTTATGAATAAATTGTTTGTTTCTTCATCGCATCTACGTGTCGTGCGATTCAATGCCAAAATCGTTTCAAAATCATTTGTTCGCGCGTGTCGTAATCCGCGTCACTGCTCGATCTTGAATTCCACACATGACGTTCTCGCCTGTGAGCCGATTTTCTTCCTTTTACCATACTTCGTTACCGATTACGCGGCATCAAACGCGCGAAGTACATCCCCTTCCTTTCTTCAACGCGTAATTATTTGCCCCGATCCACGTATTCGACATACTCGACCAGCCAGAGTAATCTCTATTCGATGCTGCTAAGACATTGTCATCCCACGTTGCCGTCCATTCTTGCATATTTATCGTGAATTGCGCGTGGCAATGATCCACATAATCTTCCATCGTGTCATCGCGTTTCATTTTCTTCTTCTTACATATGCTATATACGTATGTAGGTACTTGCATATGCTACATATGTATGTATGTATATTGACGCTAATGAAAGAATTACCATCTTAACGTAATGGAAATGCTTCGGAGAAATGTTGGTAGAGGGGGGGGGAGAGAGAGAGAGAGAGAGAGATCAAATCGATAAGCACATATGTATGTAAGTATGTATGTGTGCATGCACGAGGTTCGATGTTTACCCAGAAATGGAGAAATACCAATACTCCTCTAAAAGGATCGCGTATCCTAAGGAAAGGAACAGGATCGAAACGAATCACGAGGAGACAAATGTAATCGGTGCAACTCGTTTCTCTGTTTTCACGATCAGGTTTACGCTGTCAGACACTTACTAGCCGTGTCGCTGACACTGGCATTGGCCTACTCTCTCCAGTGTGGTTCGTTCTCCCCGGCTTACCTTCGTAGTCTCGCTTTCTTTCGTATGTTTTCGTTTTATCGTTAGACGCCACGTATTCCTTCCCCCATGTATCGCGAAAACGTCGCTTATCCAAATACACTCGACGAAAATGACACAATGCTGCCGCAGTTCCCGGAGTTTAGTTGCCTGACCAATTAACGAAACGAAACGGAACGTGAGAAAGGGTATCGATCGATGTCGCGAACCCAAAACAGTAGGTACTACCTATTGCTCTTCCCAAAGGATCGTAACGAAAAGACGAATACGAACGATTACGATTACGATTACGAAGGAAGCCTCGTTTTTCTGCACGACCTAGTTTTCAGTGGGAAAAGTCATTCGTTTCCGAGTCGAGAGGCGCGCAACACGCACAACAGAACAGAACAGACAGACAGAGAGAGACAGGAAGCCAAGCGCGTTCGAAGCCACCTGGGTGTTAGAAGCGTGCCGCGAAACTTGAATGTAAACGCGCTTCAGTGGTCCTTCGAATTAACATAAAGACGCATCCTTAATCTACAATTGATAGGTACGTGCTGTAACCAGTGGAAGGAATGTTGAAATTACGTGGAGCGACAGACATGCTCGAAATTCGACGTGTATTCGAAACTAATAGAATTAGAATGACATCGCACTTTCTTTTGCCCTGTACACGGATATCTTTGGTTGGAGGACGAGCAAAGGTCCAGAAGAGCCGAGGAAACTGAGGTACGGTGCAACGACCGGTCGTCAAGTAGGTCGGTTGTGGGCGCACGCAATCGTCGCAACGATTTTGAAAAACTGTCGTTCTACTTTTACATGGGAGTACTTTCACGGTCGCTAACCCCACACGCGACAACGACACTTGCCATATATTTTGCATCCTCTTGTATCGCGCGTTCGCGTGCGAAAGGAGGAAGGAAGAGGTTACGATGGAAGAAAAAGGAAAAAATTCGTCGAGAGTAGAGGAGCACTCTTCGCGCAATGTTAGAATCGCGGTGTGCCTCTCTCGTGAAAACATTGTTCAAGCGTAGTTCTTACTCAACCTTGACACAGTTTTACGAATCTACCCTACTCGCGATCGCGCGCATATGCGATTAGTCGATCGAATGTCGTGACCTCACAATTCAGATCGTCTCGCAAATAAAACGCTGCAACGTTCGCTCCTTCGGTCCTTTCAGGAATAGCGTTGCATTTCTAACCACTGGACCAACACACTGGCCCACAACCATAGAACAGAATTTCTCCATGAAATTTCCATATAATGAAATATACATATGTAGAGATAATGAAACACAAACAGCCGTTAAAGGACAGATGGACAGAAGAAAAGGAGAAAGATTTTCCTTTATCCCTGTCGCGACTATATGTATAATGGCCTACGTGAGGATAATCCTAACGAGGGGTTCGCGATTAACGATCGAGAAAGGGAAAAAATACGTACGAGGTAGGGGATGTTTATGCGAAGGGTGAGAAAGAAGAGAATAGAGAAAGGAGAAACGCGAGTGCGGGTGCGCGACTGCATGCGCCGCTGCAACGACGCCATAGTACCGCAACCCGCCGTCTGCTGTCGTCTCGGCGCCACAGTCTTTCTCTCCGTATGTACGGAGCCGGCTGAGGCATCGTTCGGCTCGTTCATCCTTTCTTTCCTCCTTCCTTTAACGTGTATGTACGCCGCCTCCTATTTCGGCACGCTTCGTATACAATGGTAAGTGGAAAAATTCAAATCGAAACACGCCTCTTACCCGCTCTCAACTCTTTCAACTCTTTCCGTTCTTCTTCTTCTTCTTCTTCTATTCTCCATATAAATAAGTACGTACGCGCACCCTCTTTCCCGACAATTCAACGGCAATTACAATTCTCCTTCTTATCTCGACGTGCACACACGCTCGCATCGTCTTTCTCTTCTACCGTTCACCGCAAACTTTTCCTCTGTCATTCAAGTTTCATCGGTAATTTTAATCGACCCACCGTTCTACCTCTCTTCACTCGTCTCGCACTCGCTCCGATCGCTCGTTACGATCATTCGCGAACGACACTTTTCATTGCTATTCAAGGTAAATCAATGAATCGTTCAATCCACTCGCCTTATTCTTTTCAACATTTTACGTGGTGATGCACGTGCGAATACGATCCGAAGAACGAGAAACTAGGATGGAAGGGAGCAAAACTTGGAAGACTCTACTCTATTCGCAGCTTTTCCAAATCACCGCGAGATCGCAGCACCTCTCTTGGAATTGTCACACGTTACATCAATGCCGGCGGTCACGGTTTTGCCAAACTGCTATAATTATTCTTTATCTTAGGGAACCGTGTGTTCTCTCTCCCTCCCTCTCTCTCTCCCTCTCTCTGTCTCTCTCTCCCTCTCTCTGTCTCTCTCTCTCTCTCTCTCTCTCTCTCTCTCTCTCTCTCTCCCCCTCTCTCTCTCTCTCAATTCCACGCAAACAATGAAGATTAATCGAGAATTAATTCATCGTCGTCGTCGTTTTACGAAATATAAATCCGCAACCTCCACAGGTACTTGCAGATACAAATCTGGCAAGTCTTCTCCGTGACCAGCAGCAACAGCAACAGCAACCGCAAAATCAACGGTATCAACGTAAATATCAGTACGAGAGTAACAGACAGTTCCCGGTAGAGCGGGAATCTCGACAATGCAGCAGATCGACAGGAAACGGAAATCCAGAAGAAATATCGGTAACGAACGTAACAGATGGAGAGAATCTATGTTACAGTTTAGCTCTGATTCGGGGACGCGTGTCGACGGTATACACCTTCATCACTCTACGCAATCAGAAGAACCAAAGTGCCGAATGGCCGGTCGTGTCTGGTGAATTTCGAGCTGTTGTAGAATTAACACGGGGCCCGAACAAGTTGGAATTAGAGGTGGCAGGCCAAAGGAAAAGACTGGTTCTGATTTACGAACCGAGAACGACCAGACTACGCGTAACTCCGGTCTACGTGATCTGCGCTGGACACGATGGCTACTTTCAAGGGCCACGGGGAGAGGATCGGTCGCCGGAAAGCGCTGCCACGAGAATCGGTCTCGGTGCCCGTCTTCTGCAAACCCTCACCGCCGAAAAGTTAAGGGAGGCAGGCTACGGAAGGAAAACGTTTCAACTGGAACGAGACTTGGACGGAGCAGAGTGTTTGGTAATGCACAGCATGCTCGACGTTGATCGAGCTCGCGCGATGAATCAACGGGAACTTTGGGAATTGATCGCACGGGAATTAATGACCGGGCATTTAGCGTCCAAGGATCGCAAGTATCTCGCGTTCCTTTCTTGCACGAGGTATCGCGGCGCTCCCAATCCACGCACTCACGAGGACACTCTCGCGAGGACGCAAGGGCATGCCGCCCTCGGCGGCGGTGGATTGGCGCTCTTTGGCTCCGCTTGTCTTCACACCTGGCCCACTTGCATCGACCAACTGTTGCCTAGATTCCTCGACGCCACGCTTATCGATACCGAACAACTGATGGACGATAGTAATTATCGTGGCACGCACGGTGGATGTCTCGCCACCACTCTTGGTTCCGTTCTTCATGAACTCGGCCATACTTTCGATCTTGGCCACACTCGCGAAGGCATAATGGGCCGCGGATTCGATTACGTTGATCGTGTCTTCGTCGGAGGAGCTGGAATCGATTTTAATCGCAATCCCGTTCTACGAAGAGACCCACAACATACCACGGTCGCGATAACTAGACCCCTCAGCGTCACTGTCACCGTACAACAACCGTTCAGCCTGCTCACCAGTCCCCGAAGAAGTCGTCTCCTCTCCGAAACCTCTCGCCCCTCTTCCTCTCAAAGTCCTTCCCGATTACTCGGCAGGCTGTCCGCGCCCGCCAGCCCAGAACTTAACAGATCCTTCTCCAAGAGTCTGTTGCACCCTACCTTAGAACAAACGCCTTACCAAACCGATCGAACATTTTGGGCACCATCTTGCGCCGCATTTCTTGCCTATCATCGATGGTTCAACAACACCGGGATGGATAACAACCTTTTCAACCGGCCTTTCCACGACATTTCCTACGATGGCAAAAGGTAAATCGATCAATCTTTTCTCTTCGATACACGTAACGTAATCTCTCTGATCACAGGAACGTCGTAAGATCGCGTTTCGGAGTACGAGTGATTGAACTTAGAGAAACATCGGGTGGAATGGTTGTTGGTTCCCGACAATTTCCAGGCTCTCGGCCACCTTTGGAGGCGTTAGTTCCACCAGCACCACCTCACTGCCTTGCCGCGCTCACTCTCGTCGCTGAAGATTCCACTGGTAACCTTCTCAAACATCCTCTTCCAACGGCATTTTGAACTTTCAACCATCTTCCGATTATTCGAACCAGGATCACGATCAATGTCCAACGGTGCAACGCAATCGTGCTCATATACGCTAATTTATTCTCTTCTTTTCTAATCTTTGCGTAACGTAGGTATACTCGCGATTGCTCTTACCTACCATTACCGTGCTTCAGATTCGAAAGGAAGCCAGCTTCAAATTCTTTCTCTATTTCTTTGCCAGTTATTGATGTTTCGTAAACGCTTCTTCAGCCGGTGCGTTATATTTCAAGCCAAATGTATCAATTTTCACAAAGTCCTGCGACAACTACGAAACGTCAAAGCTTTTACTACTACATAGACGTGAAAAATCTCACGAGAGATAGACGTACGTAGGACAAGTACATATTTAGATAAATATATCGATAGACGCACGCACGTGCACGTGCGTTCAGAGAGAGAGAGAGAAAGAGAGAGAGAGAGAGAAAGAGAACTTACAGTAGTTTCTTCATGTGTTTCTTATATGTACGTTGCAAACAGTGAGCATTTTATACGTTAACTTCTTCAACTCCTTTTGTACATGCCATTCCAAATGTAGCTTTCTAACTAAACTTTCGCTGATATACTTGATAGAAAATGTATTGTGTACGAATGTTTATACACATATATGTATATACATACATATATGTATGCGTGAATCTATGTACGCCTGTATGCAATTACAGTTCCAAATAGCGAACGCTATATAGTTAGAATTTCAATTTCTTATTAACGATTTACAAAAAACGCGACGAGATTACGAAATTCCTGTATACAGACATGTACAGTTTAATAACTATCAATCGACAAACTGCGTTAATATTCAACGTATTGTACAAATATTAAGTTACCTACGTGGAATAACTAGGATGCCTTATCGATGATAATAATCTGTAGGCATAGTTAGTATGAATGCGCCAAGCGAATAATAAAATTCAGAAATCTAATCTAAACAGAAATCTAAGTTAAGAAACCTTCGTAGAACCAATTCGAATTAGTACTATAATCAAAATATATTTTAAATATTCTTCCGAAACGTTCTCGTTATTTCATGAAATCAATTATTACGAAAATATTACGATCGTTACACTATTTGCGATACGTACACATATTTTACCATAAGAGATTATCGTGTTCAAAATGAACAACAGACAGAAAGGTAATCGGTTGCACTGTCAAATTTCACTGATCGCTAGTATACATATACGAGTATATGTGTATATATATTCATGTATACACGTACAAATCTATTACTATCAAACCAGTGGCGCGTTATCCTATGGGCAAAAGGGGCAATTGCCCTCCACCAACGAGTGGGGCCCCAAACCAATCTTTTATAACCTCGTTGCTGTAGTAGGAATGTCGAAAGTTAAAAATTGCAGTATTTATTTGCCAAAATTTTTGGCCATTTAAAAGTTGTTCAAAATATTGATCCCCCCCCCTTAAAAAAAAAAAAAGAAAAAAAACAAAAAAAATTCCCCCGAAGAAAAATGTCTGACTCCAAATTTGCACGGAGCCTCATGAAGCTATAACGCGCCACTGTGTCAAACATATCGTTTCACGCAAGCTGTTCATCGACACTGCATCGCAAATATGTAACTATAAAATTGTTTTCATGATTACGATAAAACGTTTATATCGTTATCAAACGCTATAAAACGTTACGAAACTAGAATACTTTTGTTATACACGTATCGTTTCTTGGTTATTGCTCAAGTTGCGTTTATCCCTCGATGTAGAATTATGCTGTCTCCTTCATCGAGTAATGACGATAACAAGGATATACTTTTAAGTGAAATTGAGGTTCTCTTTCCAAATGTCATCCAAGACGAAATAGAAACTGCTGAATTTTTGACCGCGGCACGTGGCATTGTACGAATTTTAGGTACATACATCGCGCTTACGATCAATAGCACATAACCTACGAAAATATTGGAAATGAGTGAATGTTTCAGATAAATTTGGCAAAGTATTTGCTGCTGTTAAACATGATATTGAAGGAAATATTGATGTAAGTGTTTCGAAAGATCATTTTCATTCGTCCTAATAATACACCTATTCCAACAACAACGTAATTGCAGAAACTTTATACCAAATATGCAACGGATAAAGAAGATAACGCAACTTTACAAGACATAATTTTAACTGAAAACCAGACTGAAACCGATTTCATTGCTACCGAGTCTTTAATGTGGTTAACTAGGTATGTATGCACTTATGTGCATTGCGTTTTACAAATATCAATCTTTTCGCATCATTTACTACAGTTCGATTCGATTCGATTCTCGATTCGTTACATTAATATATCATATCTTTGTCGTTTACTATTTCCCATTATACTTAATTAAAATTTTAATCGTAGAGATTTACACATGATTTTGCTATTTTTCGAGAAAATTGTTCAAGATGCCAAAACAGGAACACCGACCGAGGATTTAGCAGCATTTCTACAAATGTCCTACAAAGAAACTTTAGAACCATATGATGGATGGATGGCGCAACTACTTTTCAACGTAAGTTCGTGTTTATCAAAACCATGTACTTACAGTATTATATTATACGTATACATCGTGCGAAATCTACAATTTATTTAACCCTACCCCCCGATATTTTCTATCCTTTTATGCTTACAATTTCTTCGAATTGTAACTTTCGACGTTTTCTCAACAGCTTCTTTCGCGCCTGGCTCCTACACGTTCCCAACTTTTACAGGCACTTGCCGTTAAACGAACTGACGATAGCGTCACTATTATAAATCGCTTGGAAATCTATTCAATACGATTGCGAACGAACGTATCGGCAATACAATCGTTTTATAAAATTTATAACCTCCTCCAATGACTTTATCGGTATTAATATCGCGTAATGCGTAACAGTGGTTAGGAATTTTTATTAAATCAAGGTGATGAAATCAAGAATAAGGTGATTGTACATACTTTCCTTGTATTTGCTAAAAAAAATCTTATGTACAATTCAAAAATAAAATTTTAGTCTTAAACCTCCTACTTCGTTTGATTGTACTAACGTTTATTCTTATGTTCACATATCAATTGTAAACATGCATCAAGTAAAATGTTTTAGCACGACAATTTGCCAAATTTGTTAAAGCAATCGTACCTGTGATGACTTCGACAAGAAGAAGGCAAACCATGACAGAATTAATAAATGTTTCGCTACTGTGAGACAATAACCCATGATCCAGAAGAAGGAACATCACCAATGGAAGCTGTATTAATATCGAGATTAACCAACAACTAGCCAATTCTGGAATCTAATGATAATTCACTTGCAATAACAAACAGTCGAGAACAAAATTCTGTTATGAATTAAATAAAATTACCTTTCCAGCCAGATTCCCTATATATCCCAAATATAATTTTAAACTTCCAGAAATTGAAAGTATCAGAAAAACAGCTACAATTATCAGTCTATAAACATTTGTTAAACTGTCATACTGCAAAAGTAATGAACAAAATTAATATAGATTCATGTTCTATCAAACGTGTCAATTTTCAAGCTTTTCCTCATTTTCACAATGAAAAATTAAAGGTATAATAAGTGTGGTATTTACTTTTGCATTCAAGTTTATAATAATAGACAATAGCCAAAGTGGAAACAACCATGCATTTATGTATAGAGCTATTTGAAAGGGCAAATTCGACCTTGTTTCATTACCTGCAAAACACATTCTTCTACTTCAGGCACAAGTTTACTCTTCTTTAAACAAAAGAAATATACATATCTGCATAGAAGATTACAACTTACGGTTATGGTACATTAATTTTAAACATGTTTCATTAATAATATCCGTTGCAGTAAATTTCGACATTGTTATTACTGATTTCGTAATATTATCGTAATACTGTTAAATTTCATCAATCACAACTAAAATGCTTCATTCGCTACACCTTTTTAACCCTCGTACAACCCAATTTAGATTTGCTCACTCTAATCGATTCAGCATAAATATCGCAATCATGGAACAATATACACACACTCGCAATACTTGCATTTTTACTTCTTATAGAATGTTATACATCCTATATAACAACAACAACAACGCAGAATCTCTACGTGGTGCAACTGTACAATGAACTATACAATATAAAATTTCTCGAGTATCACAATACACATGTATGTAAATACGTACTTTGCTTTCTTCTTCTCTTACTTGCTTCCTTCTATTCTCCTTCTCTCTCCTTTACTTATGTACGCATAATAAAACTGTCTAATAAAAGAAGATACAAGAATCGAGAAATTTCTAATGTAGCGAAAAGCATAATTATACACTTGATCGTGCAAACGTGATTCTACACAAAGAAAATTGTCAACAATAACGCGTCACAAAGTATTGGAAAAAGGCTATGTCAATTAAAAAATTGTCAAATTTCATGGTACTGATTTGATTCACGTAGTAGCGTGACATGTGTTTTGTGCTTCGAAGAGGCTCGAGCGGATAACGAAGAAAGTGACAAAACAGAAAACGCTTGCAAAGTGTAGCTGTCCGTGCAAGTGCATGCGACGGATTTAACGTATTGAAACAAGTTCCTTCTATCTTTTTATACAACCTGGAAATTACTTCGTAAACTTAATCACTTGTTTCAAGAACAACATTAGCAATTTCGCGGGGAAAATTTCGGAGGTTATCCGATTTCTAGTTTTCATACTTATAAAACTGTGAACATTTTATAAATGGCCGGTGCGATGTTGTTCGAACGTGCACAAGCAGTTTCAATTACGAACCGCAGCGAAGGTATTTCGCTTTTAAATGAAATCGTTTCCGATCCAAATATCGGTGTTACGGAGGATGACGAAGATAACATTCGTGTGAAGGAGCAAGGTATCTTGCATCTTGGTGAACTTTACAAGAAAGAAGGCAAGGCTAAAGAATTGGCAGAATTAATCAAAGCTACCAGACCATTTCTTAGCTTGATTAGCAAAGCAAAAGCTGCTAAACTTGTACGATCTTTAGTAGACTTTTTCTTGGATTTAGAAGCTGGTATTGGCATTGAGGTGGTAACCATATAGATATTTCTTTTATTCACTTTTAATACACACCTTTTTATCCTAATGTTTCTTCTTTAATGCATAGGTACAATTATGCAAGGAATGTATAGAATGGGCAAAAGAAGAACGTAGGACTTTCTTAAGGCAATCGTTAGAAGCACGTTTAATAGCATTATATTTCGATACTGGTATGTACAGTGAGGCATTGCAGCTGGGATCAGCTTTACTCAAAGAACTTAAAAAGCTGGATGATAAACAACTTTTGGTTGAAGTTCAATTATTGGAAAGTAAAACCTATCATGCACTGAGTAACTTAGGAAAAGCAAGGGCTGCTCTTACCAGTGCCAGAACAACTGCAAATGCAATTTATTGCCCGCCTAAGATGCAAGCTGCTTTAGATTTACAATCAGGGATTTTACATGCCGCCGATGAACGAGATTTTAAAACTGCATATTCTTATTTTTACGAAGCATTCGAGGGGTAGGTTTTGTGTCTCCTTGAAACACTCTGGCTGGTGAATGTGTCTTTCATTCTGTACTTTTACTAATTTACCATTCTTCCTTCTTAGGTATGACAGCGTGGAAAGTCCAAAGGCTTTAACAGCTTTGAAGTACATGCTGCTTTCAAAAATAATGTTACGTACACCTGAAGATGTTCAATCAATTATGTCAGGAAAATTAGCTGTTAAATACGCAGGAAGGGATTTAGAGGCAATGCGAGCGGTTGCCGAAGCCAGCCATAGACGTTCACTGGCAGAATTTCAGACTGCCGTAAAAAAATATCGCGAAGAGCTAGAAGACGATGTAATCGTTCGTGCTCACCTCGGCTCCCTCTATGATGCGATGCTTGAACAAAATTTGTGTCGCTTGGTCGAACCTTATTCACGTGTACAGGTACGATTATTTACTTTCAATCTCTTCTTAAATCCATCGTTAACATGTCCTTTACATGTTATTTCACTTTTTCAATTTAGGTCAGCCATATCGCGACCTCTATATCATTACCACTTGCGCAAGTGGAAAAGAAGCTTTCACAAATGATATTGGATAAAAAGCTAAGGGGTGTTCTCGATCAGGGCGAAGGCGTCTTAATCGTCTTCGAAGATACTCCGCGCGATAAGACTTACGAGATTGCATTAGATACTCTACACAGCATGGGGAAGGTCGTCGATACACTTTACCAAAAAGCAAAGAAACTCACTTAGCCTTATTTAATATGTATTTCTATCAGGAAAGTTTGTTATAATAATTATTATTACCGTTAACTTTCATTTCGTGTCATTGAGAATCAAATTAAATTTCGTTTTTCGATGTTCATTAAATAATATAAAACTCGTTCCTACCTTGGTATTTCTACTTTCCTATTCTCGATAATGGACAATTTGAATCTTCTATCAATTTCGAAATGTAAAATTAACTTGATTTCCACTCAAAATTCTCCTTCTGTTTTCTACTTGCGCGTGTATACGTGCACGTTAACCATACTGTACACGTAATTAACCACGATGGCCAATTATGTATAGCAGCAGATTTACTTTGACGACCTAAAAAATGATACTTGATGTACAAAATACGAAATATAATGGTACTGTGTACGAAGTGATATATTTTATCGATTTACTTATCTCGAATAAAAGATCACGTTCGTTTACAAATATATTCGTAAAATTCGATCGAGTGTCCTTTTTCCTTTTACTTTTCCTCTTTCGATTTATTATAAATTACATGTACATATATCAGCATTAGTAGTTTTTCTACTTCTGATACAGTAAATCGAAATTGAAGAAGAACATATATATCTCTGTTCCATCCAGTGAAATTATGATTTATCCAAAAATACTACTTTGTTAATCTTGTATTTCTATGTGAAAAAAGAATTCGTTATAAATGAGCTTGAAATCGAAAGACTTGCAAAGGATGAAGAAATATAGTATGAAGAACAAAATAATTCTGTAACGAACAAAAAGAGACGTTCAAATTCTAACAAGATTATCATAACTTCGTAAACGTTACAGATTCTGATTTGATGGCGTTAGTAGGAATATGCACCACGACTTCCTGTTTGAAGTTGTACGTTACAACAAAGAGACAGTGTGGTTGTATTTTATAAAGTTTTTTTTTTTATGGAGTGTATAATGGCGGATACTACGGCACAGAAGGTAAAATATTTTATGTTATAATTTTAACTATAGTCAATAAAAGGATCACATTAGATAGTCCGCATTCCTCGTTCCATATACTACAAGTAAGGATGTTTAGGTTAATGTAGCGCTTGACTCACCGGCATCACTATGTTCGAAGTAATGTTCGCTACTTTCTCATCAATACCTTCGAAACATGTTTCATCCTCTTACTAATATTTAGACGTATCACTTCTTCAATTTGTTCGCATTTAGAATGGTTGGTCTTAGTCAGTGATCTTATCTCAATACTTACGCAAAACTGTAGCTGTATCGTTGCATCGACAATATAATTCTTCTTTCGAATTCTTATATGATCATTACGCTCGTACGTTCGTTGTTCTGGGCAACATTATGATTTTACGAACGGATTCTGTATATCCGTTCGAGAAAAATTGTTTTCTAAAATAAATATATTACTCGTAAATGAAAACTATTTGATACGCAATTTTGTTTTACTTACGTTTAAGATATGATGTATGTGTTATACGTGTAATTGAATTAAAATACCAACTTTCGATTCAGTACAATCGTCCTACTTAATATATTTACCTTTCAAGTTTATCTTACAGGTTCAGGAATACAAGGATTCTCTTAAAACAAAGGTAATTGATCGAATGCTGTTCTTTTAGGATTCATATTTTTGCTCCATCCATTACAAAGTATACCATACATGTATAAATTTTGTTTAGGCTGAACAACTACTGATAAAAGGATTTCCAGAGAAGATTGTTAAGCTGAACGAATTATTGGAGACCCCTGGCTTTTGCAACAGAAAATTGTCAGATGTTCATCAAGACTTAAATGTGCCCATTCCAGATCCGATCATTCTTAATCATTCCGAAAATGAGACAGCTACAAAAAAACGAAAGACAGACAATAACATTGACAATACCAGTGGAACCAAAGTGATGGTATTGCCAAGTGGACCTATACCTTGTAATAAGCCTTTGTGCGATCTTATTCTCATAGTTAAACCTTACATTCGACAACTATTGGAAGATTCCAACTTGGTATGCAATCAGTAAAGCAATAAAGCAAACTTGAAATACATCTAAGAATATTTCCAACTCGCTGTACATGTGCAATATCTAACTTCACTGACATTTATATTTTCAGTTGAAAATGTGGATTTCATATCTGATTCCCAAAATTGAAGATGGGAACAATTTCGGCGTATCAATTCAAGAAGATACACTTGCCGAAATACAATCGGTCGAAAGTGAGGCAGCCGCATTTTTCGATCAAATATCTAGGTAACGTGAATAACGACGATGTTTTTGAAATTTCCTTTCTCCGTGAAAACATGGATTGTAACTGCATAAAAATATTTTTATAGGTATTTTATCTCTAGAGGAAAGATTGTTAGTAAAGTTGCGAAGTATCCACACATCAGCGACTATAGAAGAGCAGTCCAGGAATTAGACGAAAAAGAATATGTGAGCTTATGGCTAGTTATGTGTGAAGTCCGTAATCGCTACTGTTCTCTGCACGATTTGGTAATCAAGAA